ATAATGCTTTATGGTTTTGTTTATTTTTTTCCCCTCAGAGTTATGATGATTGCAAAGAAGTTCTTGGATGCTGGCCACAAACTGTCTTATGCTGTTGCTAGTCGAAAGACCTTTGGCCATGAGCTTTCTGAGTTTGGTCTGGACAGCAGTGTGGGTGAGGCCCCTGTCGTTGCCATCAGAACTGCCAAAGGAGATAAATATGTCATGCAAGAAGAGTTCTCGTGAGTTCTTGAACTTGATGGTAATGGGTCTCGTTTGATGGACTTTGGTCTAGAGGTCTCTGACCAGATGATACTTTGTTAGCTTTGAGGAAACAGGAAAGCTGGCTGTTGCAACTGGAAGAAGCAATTGCTGGGTCAAAATGGCTCCTGCTTATGTTTTTTCCTACTCTCTAGAAAGCTTGCAGCCCCTCCTGTTATACAAAGGGAGAGAATTCAGTTCAAGATCCTGAAATTCTGGTTAGGAATCAGGGTGCAATAAAGGGCAGAAGAATGCATTGTACCTTTTATTTTGAAAAAAAAACAAAAAACACCAGACATGAAGAATGCTAGAAGGCCTAAAACATTGAATGGGATGTGCATCCAGCCTCCTGTCACAGCCCTTAAGGACATCACTGCACTTGTTCTGGGCTCTACTAAGCCAGCCCCAGACTGGTGCTGTCAGAGATGCAGGTGGCATCTGTTGTGTGGGTGGAAGTAGCTTAAATAAGCCTTGAAAGTTTCCCTCTCTCATGCTGTGTGTGTGATGATGGCTGTAACATCACTTTTCTTTCAGCCGCGACGGAAAGGCTCTGGAGAGATTCCTGCAAGATTACTTTGGTGGAAACTTGAAAAAATACCTGAAATCAGAGCCTGTCCCTGAAAGCAACGATGGCCCTGTAAAGGTGAGTGCTGCATATAGCTGCAGAGAGACATTGCTCAGCAGCAGCTTCCTGTGCCTGTGTGAAGTGCTGGGAGTGAGGCATGGTGGCAGCTCAAGAGGCCTCTGTGCTGATAGACAGAGAAATTACTCACTCCCTTGTTCCACTGCAGTTTTCTGAGGTGAGGGAGACATGCAGCTTGCAGTTTGGGTTCTGTTTTTTTTCTCTCAGCATAGTAACTGCTGCTTGGCCCCAGCAGTTACGTGCTCTGTGAGTGCAGCAGCATCCAGATTTCCAGGGCTTACACAAAGGCCTGTCCTCTTGGTTTGTCCTCACTCCTTCATGCCATGGTCTTCCTGTTGGTCGTGACTGCACTATTTTAGGGATGTCCCCGTTTATCTCATCACTGGGATCTGGTATAATTCCTGCCTTTCACCCTCCCAGGCTGTTCTGTCCTGAGTAAGAGCATTCCCTGGCCTGGCTTTTTGATGAGAGCCTTACACAAGAGTGCAAGTCACGGGATTCACAGATGTTTTTGGCCTCAGCCAGTCCTGCTGATTGCTTGCTGAGATTAAAAAGAAATTGCTTTATCTTCCTGCAAGGACACCATATGTAGACCTCACTTGGAGGTAGTGCTGGTAACTTATGGCAGGTTTTTACCTGCACGGTACAGATGAGGAGTGCTGTGTTTGGTTCTGCTGCTCACTGTGCAAGTGTGGGAGACCCAGGCTTGGGTGAATTGTGTGGAGCATGTCATGTCATTGCCTCATCTGTGACTTGGAAAGAACTAACTGATGTGATCAACCTTTACAGGTGGTGGTGGCTGAGAACTTTGATGAAATTGTTAATGCACAAGACAAAGATGTCCTGATAGAGTTCTACGCACCGTGGTGCGGCCACTGTAAGAATCTGGAGCCCAAATACAAAGAACTGGGGGAGAAGGTAAGTTGAGATTCTTGCAAATGTGAAGTAGAATTTTACAGCACTAAATGATCCTGCAGGTTCTTTCTAGCCTCTGTGATAAGGGACCTAACTGTGCCTTCCTGAGGACTACAAATTTTAGTCCCTTTGCAGAGTGCAGATATCTTGAAGCAGGATCTGTGGTAGCAACCACAATGGTATATGTAGTCTGTGTTATTGGCTAGGGCACAGGAATATTCCCAGACTCAGTGACTGGCCACAACTGCCCAAGTTTCTTTTTGGGCAGTTTCCCTCTCCACGATGATAGTCTCCCATGTAGTGGGGATTGGTGAAGTGGCATTCCCTATGCACTGTCCTCTGATAACACTGCCCCAGGTCATGCTGACTGCTGGGTTCCTGGATTTTGGAATTGGTTACTGATTGGTTCTTTCTACCCACAGCTCAGCAAAGATCCCAATATCGTCATTGCCAAAATGGATGCTACAGCCAATGATGTGCCTTCTCCCTATGAAGTCCGAGGGTAGGTCTGACTGCTGTGACAGCACGTGTCAGTGCATGAGTCCCTCTCTGTCTGACCTTAGGCACAGCACTGAAGAGCTGAAAGAGCCTCATGGGGAGAGGTGTGGGGGTTGCCAGGCAATAGCTAGGTGACTGCTGGGCAATGGCTTGATGTGGATAAGTCAGGAGTGAAAACAAAATACACTGATCTGCCTGGCTTCTCCAGGATTCTGGTGTCCTGGCTCTACCTGGAGGTCTGTCCTGCTGCTTTGGAATCTGCTGAGATTCTGGTCCTGGCAGTGTGAAAACAAATCTGGGCTTGCTGTTCCGAAAGCAGTTCAGCTAGCAAACTTGAACCTGTGAGCTCAGCCAGATCTGCTGGGCTCTTGAGGGCCACACCTGGTGCCTCAGAGCCACTGAAGCTGTGCCATGTTAAACCAGGGCAGTGTGGGGTGCAAGTGCCCTCAGTTGGGGCTGGTCTGATAGAAATCAGAGCATCGCAGGAGCTCATGTGTTTCTTCTCTCTCCAGTTTCCCCACCATCTATTTTGCTCCAGCTGGCAAGAAGCAGAGTCCAAAGAAGTATGAGGTAAGAATTTTGCTGTTCTTCATGCTTTATAAAGAAGTGAAGAGCATCCAGGTGTTCTAATTGTACTTAATCCTCTTTGGAGTTGGGGGTGGCACTGTGTCCTGTTACCCTGGGAACATGCCTGAGGGTTCCTGCTGGGAGCATTGTACTTTGTGTTGTTGGCCCTGGAGAGAACTCTGCTTGCAGTCACCTGGGTCTCCTGCCAGGCACCTGAACCCCCTTCAGGAGAGGGGAAATCCATGCTGGGTACAGGTCTTGCCTGACTGTCATTTGCTTTCTGCAGGGGGGCAGAGAAGTGAGTGACTTCATCAGCTACCTGAAGCGGGAGGCAACCAACACTCCCGTGCTGCAGGAGGAAGAGAAATCCAAGAAATCCAAGAAGAAGGTGAAGGAGGATTTGTAAAGTACCTACTTGCCACCTTGTCAGGATGAGCTCTGTGTGAATTGGGGAAGCACTGGTCAGACTGGGGCCAGTTCTGGGCTGTGGAGAGCCAGTGGCCATGGGGGCTGAGGGGCCCCAGCTGCTGTATCTAGTAATGTTTAATTTCCTGCCGTCTCTTAGCTGCACTGTTTGTGGGGCTCCCCAGGTTTGTTTCATGGTTTGGGAGGGGGTGGGGTACAGTTATTTTCTAATTTTTTTTGTACATTTGGAGAAGTGAAACAATAAAATGACCCCCTTAAGACCAAGTGTCCTTGTCCTGGGGAAGCCCATCAGACCTAGAAATGGGATCTTGTTCTTCATAGGCAGCCCCTTCCTGCAGCAAGTTGTTCCCTACAGTGAGCCCTCCTAGCCACTGAGTTTAGCTTCGAGCCCGTTATCCTCTTTCCTCAGCTGCCTGAGCCCCTCCAGAATGTAGCAGCAACAGCTGTCCCAATGTGTTGGGCTTTGGGTGCTGCATTTACACACATTTTGGACTGGGGAACTGTGGTCACAAGTGCCTTTGCTGTGTGCTGCCCTATTGAGTCCAGAGGTATCACAGCAATGCAGGCACATGGAGCAGGCTGGCAAGGGCCTCGCTCAGCAGCAGCAATAAATGAGCTTTGAAGCTGGTGCAGGAGTAGTCAGCTCCACTGACAGCTGACAATTGCCCATCTAACACCAAACTGGAGTGCTGCTTCCTTGGTGGGCAGGACAGTGCTCTCCATCAAGCCAAGGAGAGCCCGGGAAGTGTTTCTAATCCTGGCTTTGCTCCCTGCTCTGTGACTGTTGACCTGGTGGCACCTGGGGCACTGAACACAGGTAAAATTCTTCAGCATGTTTGGCCCATAGCACAACTGCAGCTGCTCAGAGCAGCCTGGGTGAAGTCAGCACAGGCCTGGGGCAACTTTCTGGCAGGATGGATGGAGGATGAGGAAGGGCTGTGCTGGTGGCTGCCCAGATGTCCCTTACTGTGCTGTAAGTGCACTGAAGGTACTGAGCTTCAATTGAGAAACGGGCATCTGATGAAGGATTTGTATATTTACTGCCTGGAATACTTTGCAAACAGGATGGCTACAGACCTTTCTTTCAGTGAGACCTGCGTGGAGAGCTGTGTAAGGGCAAAGCCACCACCCAAAGTAACACATTCCCTCAGAGTTGCCTCAGGCCTTAGCAGAAGATCAGTTCTTTGTTTCTGCCTTTCCCCATGCAGCCGTGGTCCTCCAGGGAGCAGGGAATGAGCTGGCCCCAGGTCCTTCAGGGCAGCTGGAGCAGCTGGCACTGCTTCAAAGACAGGTCCGGATGAGCAAGGAAAGAACGGCAGCAACAGTTTGCTTGGGAGGCTTTGATGTGAGACAGCTTTGAACGGAGATATTCACAGTGGTTCTTCTCCTGCTGGTAGCTGGGATAAGCCCGAGACCCGGCCCCAGCCTCGGTACCGGAGCTGCCCGGCCACGGCATTCCTGGAACGCGCGGCGGCGGCGGCGGGCGGGCGGCCCCGAGGGGCGGGCGCGGGCGGCGGGAGCCCCGTGGCGAGGCTCGCCCTGGGCCAGCTATTTTTGCCGCCGGCCCGGACTAATCCCCTGAGCCGCTTGCCGGCATTAGGTAACGGTGCGGCGGCATGCGCTCCGCGGTGTCCCCGGCCCGGGCAACCCCCGGCAGTCGCGGCGCGGCGGGACCGGCGGCGGCACGCCCGGAGCGGGCTGGGGGCGAGGCCAGCAGGTAGCGGCGGGTGGGGAGGGGGGCCGGGGCGGACATGCCCGGCCCGTCGCCCGGCGGCTCCCCGGAGAGGGAAACAGGGGCCGGCGGGCGGCCGCGGGGGCCTGGCCGGGACCGGCGGGTGCGGTTCCGGCTGCCTCACACCGCCATCGCGGTGCCGTCGGTGCGCGAGGAGGAGCAGCTCTTCTACCAGCGGCTGGAGGCGCTGGCGGTGCCGGGGCCCGGCGGCTTCGGGCCGCTCTTCGCTTCCGACGGTTGGAGCGACCTGACAGGTGAGCGCCGACGGGCGGCCTCAGGGCCGGTACCGGGGAGGGCCGAGCGAGGCGTGCCGATTTCGGGACTCCGGCCTGGCTCTCAGCGCCTCCCCCCGCAGAGGACCGGCTGCTGCGGAAGCGCCTGGTGCGGGCCGGGCCGGGCGGGCCGCGGCCCTTGCCGGGCCAGGAGGTGTCGGTGAAGGTGCTGGGCGCCCTGGAGGACGGCGGGCTGGTGGAGCGGGACCCGCGGCTCATCTTCGTGCCGGGTCACGGGGACGTCGTGCAGGTGAGCCCGAACCGGTGCGCGGTTCAGCGCCGAGCGGGCTCAGCGCCGCCCTGGGCTCCGACCCGCCAGCCCCGCCGTGCCCGTCCACAGGCTCTGGAGCTGGGCGTCCCCACCATGCAGCCCGGGGAGATTTCCTTCTTCCTCGCCGCTTTCCCCTACGCCTACGGCCGCCCGGGCAGGTAGGGCGGGCGGGCAGCGGGACCGAGCAGGCGGGACTGGAGCAGGCAGGGGGCGGGAGGGCAGACTGGAGGGACAGGCGAGGACAGGAGGGCCAGAGCCGGGGGGGCCGGCCGGGCAGGGGTCGCGGGCAGCCGGCGCTGTGCCAGCAGGGAGCCCGACGTGCCGCCCGAGGCGCCGCTGCTGTTCGAGGTGACGCTGCTAGAGGTGCGGGACGGCCCCGACCCGCAGCCGCTGCCGCCCGCCGTCCGCCTGCGCCTGGGCTCGCAGCGCCGGGAGCGGGGCAACTTCCACTTCGCGCGGGGTGACTTCGCCGCGGCGCTGCGGTCGTACCGGCTGTCCCTGCGCGCCCTGGACGGCCCCGCCGCCGGTGAGACCGGGCGGGAGGGAGGGCCCGGGGCTGCGGGGCTGGGGCGCTGAGGCCGCCACTCGCCGCGCAGCTCCGCCCGGGCCCGAGGAGGAAGAGGAGCTGCGGGAGCAGCGCGTGAAGTGCCTCAACAACTGCGCGGCCGCCGAGCTGAAGCTGGGGCGGGCGGAGGAGGCGCTGGCGGCCTGCGAGGCGGCCCTGCGGATCAGCCCCGACAACGGCCGGGCGCTGCTCCGGCGCGGGCAGGTGGGACTCGCGGCGCCCCGCACGGCCCCGCTGCCCTGGGCCCGGCCGTGCAGCCACCCTGCGCTCCTCTCCCCGCAGCTGCTGGCAGAGCGGGGCCGGGACGCAGAGGCGGCGCTCGTCCTGAAGAGAGCCCTGGAGCTGGACCCGGCCAACAAGGTGCGGGAGGCGGGGTGCGAGGGCGGGCGGTCCTGCAGCCCCCGGTACTAGGAGCGGCGGGGAGGAAGAGGATCCCGCGGGAATCGGTGGGTCGGGTGTCCCACCGCAGCCGCCCCTCGTCCGCAGGTGATCCACACCGAGCTCTCACGGCTGGCGAAGCGCCAGAGCCCTCCATCCAGCACCGGCCCGCAGAACCCCCGCCGCGACCCGAAGCCGCCGCCGAGCCCCGCGTGCGTAGGCGAACTGGGCTGTGCGGGGACGGATGCTCGTCCCGCACCCTCTTGGCGCGGAGAGCGCTTATAGCCGTCCCTCCCTGTAGATCCCCGCCACCGCCCTCGGCGGAAGGAGCGATCTGAGCGGCCCCGCAGCGCCCCAGAGCCTGACCAAGGAGATAGAAGAGCTCTCATACCGTCCTCCCCGCACCGCCCCGCACTCCCTGGGGCGGAGGAGGCTGAGGCAGGGGCGGGGCGGCGTCCCGGTCCCCGTCCCGCCCCGGTCCCGGTTCCACCCCGTCCCGCACCGCTCCCTCCGCAGCACGCCTCATGACGTCACGGCGGGGGGCGGTCCCCCCGCCCCGCATCCTGTCGCGCGGAGGCGGCTGCGGCGCGTGCGCCCAACCTTCCGGATTTTTCGCCCCCGCCGGCAGAAGGGAGGCCATAGCCCGCGGCCAATCAGGCGGGGCCCTGCCGGAGAGACGCGCCAATGGGAGTGCAGCGGGGGATGGATCGGCGCAGTGATTGGCTGCGGCGTCCCTTAAAGCGCGGCGCGGGGCGGGGCGCGGGGGGGTCAGTGCGGGACGTGGCGGTGGAGTGGCGGTGGGAGGGAGCGGCGCCATGACCCGTGAGTCGGGGGGCAGGAGCGAACGAAACGGGGCTGGGGCTGGCGACTGCGGTGGGCGGCTGGCCTGGGACCCAGCAGTGCGGCGGGGCCGGGGTCAGGGGCCGCGCCGCGAGCCGGCCTGCGGGCAGTGGTCGGGCCGGGGTTCGGGGCGGCGCCGCGGCCCGTAAGCGGGCCCGGGCTGCGCTGAGGCGGCCGCGCTGTGGCAGGCGGGAACCAGCGCGAACTGGCGCGGCAGAAGAACCTGAAGAAGCAGAGCGACTCGGGCAAGGGCAAGCGGCGGGACGACGGGCTCTCGGCTGCCGCCCGCAAGCAGAGGTGAGCGCCGGGCCGGCCCGCCGGCTCCCCCCGCCCCGCTCCCTGCTCCCGCCCCCCCGCCGCCAGCCCCGCCGCGCTCCCCGCAGGGACTCGGAGATCATGCAGCAGAAGCAGAAGAAGGCCGACGAGAAGAAGGAGGGCAACAAGTAGCGGGCGGCCGCGCCGGGCTGCCGCCCCAGGGCCGGTCCCGCCGGCAGGATGCCCCGCGCCGCCCCAGGCTCCGGGCCGGCGGCAGCGCCCAGCCGTCTGCGGGGCCGCGGCGTCCAGCCCGGGGCCGAGGCCGGCGCCGATCGCCCTTTCCACCTCCCTGCAGGGCAACAACAGCGGCGTCAGCCTGATCCGGCAGCACGGCGACAGCCTGGGTTCCTCACCGAGCCAGATGCAGCGCCGCCTTCCACCGCGCTGGTCTCGCAGAACGGGCAGCCGTGGGCCTGGGGCTGGCAGCGGGTGTCCGCGGGGCTCTGGTTACCCCGGGGCCCTGAGGAGCTGCTGCTCACCATGGCCAGCTGCCTCTGGTCTGTGTGGGCCCCCTCGGCCACGCCAGGCCGCAGGTCCGTCTTGTGCCCCACCGGCATCAACGGCTGTGCCTGCTCGACTGCAGGACAGGAGGGTGGCATGGGGCTCTCAGGCGCTGGCCCACAGGACCGTGCCAGTGGCTGTGGCAGGCTGCCCAGTGGCCTGTGCTTGCAGCAGGCACGAGCAAGACATTGTTTCCCCAGAGGACAGCCTGCACTGTCTGCAGCACCGGGGTCTGGCAGAGCCCCCCACCCGGGCCAGGCTCTGTGGGGACTTGCAGCAGTGCTGCTGGCTCAGGGTGTTCCACAGGGCTGGCACCCCCTCCCTCCATCCCCATGGCAGCAGCTGCGCAGGGAAATGGCACAGGCTCAGTTCAGAGGTTTATATAAAAATGTATTTAAGCAGGTATTTACAGTGAATGCACCATGACAGTGGCAGCCAGGGCAGAGCCCTGCTCTCCCAGTGCACTCAGTGAGGCCAGAGCAACCAGGCTGCGGGCTGACCTGCCACCAGCTGGCTCTGGCGTTTTGGGTGGCCCTGGCTCAGCACAGGGCCAGTATCCCTGGGAGCATCTGCCTCCCATGTTCCCCTCAGGCTCTCAGGTGCTCCTGTCTCCTGGGACAGGGGGTCAGGGGAGGCCAGGAGGACCAAGCAGGGCTAGGGCACAGGCACGGGGCACAGCAGGGACCAGCCCTGGGCGCAGTTTGTCCTGGCAGGGACTACATGGAGACGTTGATGCGCTGTGGAGCACGTCGGCGCCGCACGATGCGTGGCCCTGTACTGCTGCGCCGGTGCTGTGGGGAGCCGTGGAGGCAGAAGGGGCTCAGCAGCAGCCACAGGTAGAGCAGGACACAAGCCCAGCACGAGGACACCTTCACCCAGAAGGTTGACCAGCTGCCATGCGTGAAGGTGGTCTCCAGCACTGCATTCTCATAGCTGGTGGGAGAGGGCAGGACTGGGATGCCAACACAGGTGGTTCCAGTGCCAGCTACAGCCCCAGATCACCCTGTGTCCCAGTGGACACGTGCCCCTGGGCATGTCCCTCCAGCCCTTCTTGCTGCGCTGCACAGCTGCCACTGGAGCAGTGCAGGTCTGCGGGCACAGAGCCCTGAGCATGCCCAGCAGGTGCCAGCTCGGTGTTGCCATCACAGCCGGCACAGAGGTTTGGAGTGAGGGCTGGGCAGCAGCACAGAGCCCTACCTGAACCAGTTGGTGAGTGTCATCATAACATAGAGTGAGGCAAGGAAGAAGACAAAGTGGAAAGCTGAGTAGCTGTAGACCACCCGGTCCTGCTCATCCTGGATGATGAATTGTCCCCTGGCACTCTCCTCTACTTGCTCACATGTCTGGTCAGTGCCTGGGGGAGTGTGGTGACATGGCACTCCCAGGCTGGAACACAGGCTCTGCCCATTCTCCCACACAGACACTCCACTCACCTCGCAGCTCCTCTTCCATCTTCTCAGGGCAGCAGAAACAACAGGAAGGTTTCTGCAGGGAGAGCAGAGTGGTGACTACCCAGCCCCGTGGCCGCCTTGGCCAGACTGAGCCCTGCCTGATGCCAGGGCAGGTGGTGTGGGCAGCCCTCTGTGCTTGGCTAGAAACACCTGTCCCTCTCTGGGACTGGGACAGGGCCTTGAGGTGGTGGGTCTGGGGTGCCCATAGCAGGAGGATGTGGAGCCCAGCTGCACCCATACTCACTTTAAACTCAAAGCTGTAGACTTTGACCATCCAGAGGGGTCCAAAGACCTCGGCGAGGTACGAAGCTTCATTGCTGTGCCCAGGAAAGAGGCAGAAATCATAACACAGACAGCCACCACCCTGTGCTATGCTCCCAGCCTGCCCCATGGATTCCCAACAGCCACAGGAGCTCTGCTGTGCTGCCCCTGCCCACCCACCAATGCCCCACTCAGGACACCCCGGCACCCCCAGCGTGCCTGGGCAGGGAGCACGCACCATGCGAAGAGCACGCAGGCATACATGATAGCAGCGCCCAGCACGGCCACGGTGGTGTCCTCTGTCTGCAGCTCATCCTGCCGGAGCCCCGGGAAGCAGACAGTGAGGTTCTGCCCCTGGTACAGCACTGCAGGGAGGCGGAGGTGAGAAGGGCACACATCATGGCAGGGACTGCTGGTGGTGGGCAGGGACACCCACCTCTCTCTGGGGGGCGGCTGGACAGTGCGGAGAAGGTGAGGTACATCACATAGCAGCTGATGATTGAGGACTGCAGCAGCCCTGACCGCGGCTGCTCTGCAAGAGTGCGGATAGAGGTGTTACTGGAGTTCCTGGAGTAATACGAGCTGGTGGGTGGGCCCTGGGCAGTCCCTTCCTGCCACTCGCCCGTCCAACGCCTTGTGCCGAGCATGGGAAGGGCCAGTGGGAACCCTGGGGAACTGGGTTCTGCTCCAGTGCCCAAGTGCTGGCCCTGAGCTGGGGCCCACAGTCACCCCAGCCAGGACACAGCTGGCCGTGCAGCATGTGCTGTGTGGTACTCACTGAGCCGCACACACGGTGTGATGGAGATGAAGGACATGATGCCACAGAGGCTGCCATTGATGGCAAGCAGTGCTTTGTTGAGGTGGCAGGCAGCTGGGTGGGTGTAGAACTTGTAGAGGAAGGAGAAGGCGGCAGAGGCAAGGGTGTAGAAGGTGGCCGTGGCCAGCAGCACGGCCAGATACCAGCGCTTGTCCTGTGCAGCACCTGTCAGCCTGCAGAAGAGTGGATGAGCTGGGGCAGTGGGCAGGTACCCACCCAGCACCCCAGCACTCACCAGTTCTTGTTCCAGGTGTGTGCAAAGGCTGTGATCAGCACCAGCTGGATGAGGATGAAGGCAAAGCCCCCAAAGACACCTGTGTAGTGCCAGGCTGGGGGAAGAGGGCAGAGGTAAAGATGGCACAGGGCAAGTGGGGGCCAAGAGGGGTGCCCGGGTGCCAGCTCAGATAGTGTGGGGAACACACCTTGGATGAAGTTGTCCTCAGGAATGAAGAAGCTTATGGCCCAGAGGCCCACCAGCACCAGCAGCTTCAGCAGCCAGAACCTGCAGGGCGGTTAACATCAGTAGGACAGAGCCCCTGGCAGCCCCACCCAGGGCAGCCCCCTCCCAGGACACCCTGTCCCAGCCCCGTGGCCCATCCTCACCCATTGTGGAGCTGCGCACGGCAGTCAGAGCTGGAGCGCACGTTGAGCAGCAGGGCAGCCTGTGCCAGGTGGAAGCAGGCAGTGCCAAAACAGACCCGGTACACGGCTGAGGAGCCCACCAGCTGCTCGCAGTCTGTGCCCCCGGGCAGGTGTTGGCACAGCACCACTGAGAAGGGCACCTGGCAGGCACAGTGGTTGATGGGACGTGGCTGCTGGTGCGTGCACCCATCTTCCCCCAGTGCCCATGGCATCCAGCACATCCAAACTTTTGATATTCCCACCATTCCCAATACCTTTCTCAGTACTCTGGGACTGCTGGGACTCCCGGCATGCCAGGCAAATCCTGCATCTCTGGTACCCCTGGAACCCCTTCCCCCTTGGCGCTCCCAGCAGCCCTGCCACTATCCCACCATCCCAGTATCCTCAGAATCCCAGTGCTTCTGATGCCCATGGCAATTCTGGCATGCCCAGCGCTCCTCTGGGTGCCCTGACATGCCAGGCACCCCAGTACCCCCAGAACTCATGGTGTCCTTGAGACCCCCAACGCTCCCGGTACCCTGGCTGTCCCAGTTCCCTCTATCACCTTCTCTGCGATAGCCTGGGCCACAGTGCGGGACAGCATGAGGCAGCACACAGCCGAGGCCAGGACATGCAGGAGCGTGTAGAGGACACGCGTGCTCGTGGACACGCGGAGCCCGTGACAGCCGCAGCAGAGCTGGGGAGGGGCACGGTCAGTGGGGATCCCAGGGGCCAGCGCCGCTCCCAGCCTGGCCCAGCACACCCTACCCACCCAGCCCTGCTCCCAGCCCCGCCAGACCCCGAGTCCCACCTGGAATAGCAGCGGGTGCAGGAGGTGCCCCCGTGCCGCTGTGCCCGCCATGGCCCAGCTCGGCTCTGCTCAGCCCCCGCAGCGTTGATGGGATTAGGGGATTGTCAGCTCGGCCCGCCCTGCCATCTGCTCCCTGCTCCCTCCAGGCAGCCACCCCTGGGTGCTCAGTGGGCACTGTCCAGTGACTCCTGGCCGTGGGCATCCCTGCCCACACCCCGGTCCCTCCTGGGGCAGGCGAGGCCCTGGCAGGTGGCCTGGACATGAGCTTGCCTGAGGGGCACCTGGGGTCTGCCCGTGCTGCCTCCCTGATGCCAGAGCAGGACCATACAGCTGTGTGGAGGGGCTGTGGAGTTCACTGGAGGAGCAGCAGCCCCGAGCACAGAGGCACCCAGGGGACACGGGTACCTCTCTGGGCAGTGGACGGCATGAAGCACGTCCAGCGGGCAGCAGGATGCCCCAGAGGGGCAGGACCTGGGGACAGGCAAGGGGATGCAGGGGGCTCTGCGCTGGGGCTGGCGTCACCGTTCAGCTGCTCCACAGCACGCGGGCTTTGTGCTGGGAGAGCGCTGAGACGCGGCGGAGGCCGGGGCCGCGGTGACACAGATCCCCCGCCACCGCACACGGCCCGGCCGGGACGCGCTGTCCCCCGGGTGAGGCGCGGGCGCGAAGGGAGCGGCGGTGCGGCCTCGGGCGGCACCGGGCACGGGGAAGCACGGCCACAGCTCGGCCGCCTCTCGCCTCCGGCCGCGCTGCGGCCCGCCCCGTGCGAACAGCCGTGTGCGGCGGCGCTTGCCTCGCCGCCCCCGCAGGCGGCGCACGTGACCGGAAGCGGGCCGCGGCGGCGGCGGCATGGCGGCGGAGGGCGATGTGGAGCTGGAGCTGGAGACGGAGCCCAACGGCTCCGGCGGCGGCAGCGATGGGGCGGGCGGGCGCGCGGCCGAGAAGCCGCGGAAGCACGATAGCGGCGCGGCGGACCTGGAGCGCGTCACGGACTACGCGGAGGAGAAGGAGATCCAGAGCTCCAACCTGGAGACGGTGCGGCGGCGGGACGGGACCGGGCCAGGGTGGGAGGCCGGGCGCTGCCTGCAGCGGGGCCGAGCCGGGCGCTGACCAGCGCGCCTGCACGCCCGTCCCGGGGCCGGTGGCGGTGCCCGTGCCGCCGGCGCGGCGCTGACCCGCCCGGTGCCGCGCAGCGGGGTGACCGCGCTCGTTCTGGCAGGCTATGTCGGTGATCGGAGACCGGAGGTCCCGGGAGCAGAAAGCCAAGCAGGAGAGGTAACGGTCCGCGCTCGCTCCGGGGCAGTGCCTGTCTTGCAACTTGTCACCACTCGGGACCCAGGCATCCTCTTTCCCGTCTGACATCCCGGCCCCCTCCCCGCCCCACGCTGCTGCGGGGAGCCGCTCCTGCCCGCCTGCGGCCCAGGGAGCACCGGGCAGTGCCAGCGGGGGCTGGTGGTCACCGGAGGTTTATCCGTCTCTTGTCGTAGGGAGAAAGAACTGGCAAAAGTGACCATCAAGAAGGAGGATCTAGAGCTGATTGTGAGTAGGGGCGGGACCCCAAGCAGGCTGTGACATGCCCCGAATCTTGGGTGCGAAGCTGCACCCACGGAGGAGGCCGGTGCTTGCCTGCCCTGAGGCCGGTCCGGTGTCCCCGTGGGTGGGTGTCCCCCTGGGTGGGTGTCCCCAGTGCCCCTGCCCAGCCCGCAGGGCCCTGCGGATGCTGTACGGGGCCGTGCCTGTTTTTCTGCAGATGACAGAGATGGAAATATCACGGGCCGCAGCGGAGCGCAGCCTGCGCGAGCACATGGGCAACGTGGTGGAGGCTCTTATCACACTCACCAACTGAGCTGGGAGGCCATGGGCTGCCAGGCATGTGTCTCTTGCCATTCCAATAAAGGCACTGGTGGGACTGGGCTGTCTTTGTGGTCTACACAGTGCTGAGCACTTGCCCCTGAGTGCATGGTACCCAGTCATGTGGCATTGTGGTGGCAGTGCCAGCTAGGCACCCCTGTGACTGGAGCAGGACAAGGTGACCTGTCTCAGCAGTGAGACACGCTCCTCTCCCCTCTTTTAATCTCTGTCCCTGGGGCAGCACAGGCTGGACAGGCCCAGGCACAGGCCTGAGGCAGTGGTGACAGCTGACCATGCATGCCCTGCCCAGGCTGGTGCCTCCTGTGCTCCCCAGCTCACCGTGGCTCTCAAGGAAGGTGTAGAACAGGACAGCCCTGTCCTTAAGAAGAATGGGGCAGAGTGTGTAAGAAAATCGAATATTTAATCAAACCCTCCCACCCCACACAGGTAGAAAAGCCAAGCCCTGCAGGACCATGGTGAGGAGATAGTCACCACGGACCACCTCAAAACAAGGCCCAGACTGACACCAGGGACAGTACAAGCAAGGGGTTGTAGACCAGAGAGGTGCAAAAGTCCTGTAATTCTTCCAGAAGTGGATGTGCTGGAGCCAGGGGTGGTGCTGCGATGTGCCAGACACTGCCAAGGCTCCACTGTGGCCATTGCTGGGATGTAGTGTGGCCACCAGCCTGGCCAGCACCACAGGCCATCATCCTCCACTCTGCGTGGGCAAGGAACTGCTCAGCACAGGGAATGGCACACCTCATCAGGGCAGGCATGGTACAGGCAGGGAAGGGCTTGCCACCACAGGAGTCCTGGAACATGTCCCTCCTGGCCCTGCCCAGGCTCTGGCAGAGCAGTGCCCTCCTGCCAGCGTCAGCCACACCAGACCCTCCAGCCCGTGCTCTTAGGTCGTTTTTCGTTTCTTGGCCGAGGGTCTCTCAAAGACATCCCGCACCCCCGCTGCCTTCTGCTTGAAGAACTTGGTGTTCTGTGCACTCTCCTGGCCCCAGGCAGAGTCAAAGGAGGTGGTGTCCTGGTCCACCAAGTGCGTGTACTTCGTCCGCCCTGAGCGCCCAAAGTTCTTGACCTGGGGAGCAGAGGAACTTGTGAGCAGCTGTTCAGGGGGGATGCAGGACCAGCTCCTCCCCCCTGCCCAGAACTTCTACCCCTTGGCATATGGGCTGGGCACCCTCTGCCAGCATGACACCCACCTGCATGACTTTGGGCAGGATGGTCTTGTTGAAGTGATCCTCGAGGGTCGGAGCACTGAAGTCTCTCTTGTACACCTCCTCATCCTCATCCTGCAGGAGGACACACTTGCTCAGCCTTTAAAGGTTCCAGCAAGTCTTGGCAGCACTAGGAGAAGCTGCCTGAAGGTCATATTGCTGCTCTGCCAGGGCTGCCACAGTACTTGCAGCCCTATGAACTCCTGCTGGAGTGGGGGATGTGAGTGTTCCCCAGGCTGCTTCTCCAGTGGCCCATGCTGAGCTGACTTGGTTCTGGCTGGGTCTGTCAGCCCAAACACCAGCACAGGGACAGCCCTGCAGCTTCAGCCCCATGCTGCCTCTGAAGGCTGGCTCTTGTGCCAGGGCACCCCCAGGGCACCGTGGGAGAGGGGAGGCTCCCCGCAGGGAAAAGGAAAAGGGCCCTGCAGTCTCACACCTGCAGCCAGGCCTGGCCCTAAGCACACTCACCATGAAGAAGGCGCCGCGGTGGTAGTACTTCTGCAGGAATTTGTATTTGCCCTTTACTGCCTTGTTGGTGATGACTTTGCCATTGGCCCGGAGCTCAGCGCGACGCTCCTCCTCTGTCAGGTTCCGCATACGCTCGATCTCTGCCTTCTCCTTCTCCATGCTGGGTGGGAGAGAAGCTCCTGAGACCCTGTGCTCCCACAGCATCTCCTGGGAGAGGCTGTCACCAGCCACCACCTGAGAGCTTACACATTTACCGCTAGGGAGCAAAGGCACCCCGAGGGCGGGCAGGAGGGGCTCTGGGCATTCAGTCCAGCTGGGACCCTGCTGCCAAAGGGCAGCCTGAGGAAAAGGTGCTTTAACTGCCTGTGGGCTCTCAGCCTCTGGTCTACCTGACAATACTTACGCTTCTCGTTCTTCACGGTCTCGTTTGATACGCTTCAGCTCACGGACTTTCCAGGCCTCGTACTCCTCCTCGTCGTTCTCATCATCTGTATCGAGTGCATCCAGTGCTGCCAGCGAGCGTTTGTTCTCCTCCAGCTCCTTCTTTGCTTCCTCTTCTACAATCTGCAGCGAGGTCCAAGCTAAGCTTGCAGCAGTGACTGCCCCCTCCGGCCCCCAGCCCACCCCTCCGCACCTTAAGCGTGTACTTGCGCCTCTCCTCTGCCATCCTCTTTGCCTCCTGCTCCAGCTCCTTCTGCTTCAGAGCTTCTGCTTCTCTCTCCTGGACTGTGATCCGGTCCTTCCTGAAAGCAGGGCCATGACAGCCTTCAGCCCTCCCATGAGCCAGTGCAGTCGCTCAGCCTCTCGCTGGCTCCCACACAGCAGCTGCTTTCAGCCTTTGCCCTCTCCAAGGACAGGTCAAGCCCCGGGGCTCTCCCCTTTCTGGGGACTACCATGTCCTTTTGCCACCGTATGGCCCTTGCCCAAGAGCTCTGGTCAGACTCCACAGCCTGACGCCACAGCAACCCAATGCAACTGATATGGGGCAGTGGGAGCAGAGATTGCTCCTTGCTCCCTAGCTGTGCCCTGCCAGGCTGCGACCATCCCAGCCCACCCCAAGGAGGTGAATGGCTTCCTCACAGTGAGAAGAGACCATGGCAGCAAGGTCTCCTTGGGCCCAAGCTTCTGACTACCACGATCCAGGGCCAGCCCATGCACTCCCATCACCTACTTGCGAATAAAGACCGGTTTGAGACGTGGCTCCATTTCATCTTCGCTGTCCGTGTACTCCTCATACTCGGATTCTGACTCAGACTCTTCTCCAGACCGACCCTCATCTTCCAATTCCATCACTTCCATCTCCTCAGTTTTCCTCTCCTGTGCTCGCTGACGCATCATCCCACGCCGACGCTCGATCTCCTAACGGGGACAAGCACAGAGCAGTCAGAGGCCAGCCCTGCTACCTCTTCTCTCTCTCCTGTGAAACACATGCCATGTCTGGAGTGTTGGCTTTGAGAAGATGCACCTGTCTCTCTGTACAGGGCGAGGCCTCCCCCAGTGTCCCGTTCCATGCCAGGGGATGGTAACCCACCAGTTAAGTCATGGCCAGGTGTGACACTTGTCCACACACATCACACAGCCCACATGTCCATGCAAAGGGCAGTTCCAGCCTGTGCCCTTCCAGCTTTCCTAGGCCCATTATCTGGCTTTGCAAACACACCTCATCATCGATCTCTTCCTCCTCCTCTTCACTGGTGTCCTCCCGTTCCAGGCGCCAAGCTTCTCCCCCCTCCACTTCCGAATCGCTTTCCCCAACCACTTCAGGTTCCACGATTTTGCGGTGTCTTGCCAGCCTGCAAGAGACCCCAGTTAACACACTTGGAACATGAGGGGGCTGCAGGGAAGTGGCTGTTCACAAATCGCTTCTAGCAAGGCCACAGTAAGCACCGGGACTGCCAAACACTGCCAGAACTGATACGTTCTCTCAGGGGGCCACAGTGGCTGGGCACTGGCAGCTCTGCCCTGTCCATGCTTCAAGGCAGAATGCAGTTCCCAATGAGAAGACTCCTTGTTAGTGGAAACAAAACCACAGGAGGCAAACAGCACTCAGTGGTGTTTTTCTGCAGATGACAGAGATGGAAATATCACGGGCTGCAGCAGAGCGCAGCCTGCGTGAGCACACAGGCAGCGTGGTGAGGCTCTTATCACCCTCACCAACTGAGCTGGGAGGCCATGGGCTGCCCAGAGTACATTTCACGAGACACCATCCTTCCTCGCTACCCTGAGCATCAG